TTTTTTTTTTTTTTTTTTTTTTTTTTTATTTTTCCCCCCTTTACGCCATCGCCTGGGACGTTTCACGGGGGAATTATTCTTCCGTTTTATGCGCCACCAATGGTATCCTCGCGGATCGAGAGAAAATCGTTCGGTAAATTTATCGCGGATAGTAGAATCTTTGCTGGGGAATCACGCTTATCCATTCGATTCGCACCATTTTTTTTATTCTTTCTCTTTTTCGTAGATAAAACAAAGGGGGAAAAAATGACTTTTTAAATATTAAAACTTGGAAACTTGGTTATTATATTAATATTAACTCGAAACGAAAAGAACAAGAAGGGAGATTGCTCGAATTTATTTATTCATTTTTTCTTTTTTCTTCGATTGGGAAAAGCTCGGGAATCGTTCCATAAATTCATCGAATTTCACGCAAGCTTCGCTCTCTCCGTTCGAAATGTTGAACGTATCTCCGGCTCAAAAAAAAAAAGAAAAAAAAAAAAAAAAAAAAAAAAAAAAAAAAAAAAAAAAGAAAAAAAACGCTGGAAACACGAAGATTTACCATTTTGCACAGACGTGGAAATCCAAAAGCCCGGCTTCCTGGATACGTCCGGTATCCGGAAAGTGTACTCGAGGTCGCCGATCTCCTCGGTCCACAACAGCCTCAACGAGGAGAGGTACTTGGACGTGTTCTCGACCGCTCTCAGCTTGACGATCGGGCAGGAATTGACCTTGTACGAGCCGTTGGGCTTCGATGGATCGACTTTGTGCTCCAACACCTCGACCACGTACCACTTTCCCATTATCTGAAATCAATACGGACACAAATGGATTTATTACGTTCGCGTGCTAAACGCAAATGCTCTCTGACGCGTTTCGATCCGGCGAAACGTGGCCGGAACCAAACTCGGCCGCTAGATTTAGGAAACGAGCAACACCGGGGGCTTGGAATGTTGCTGCCCGCACGCATTTACCATCGATGGTATTTACAGAGATTACCAAGTTGTTTCAATCCCATTGTTGCGTAACAGATCGAACGAATCAATTTTTGCCGTTTTCTTTTCCTTTTTTTTATTTTTATTTCATCTTTTTTTTTCTAATTCGGTTTAAGAATTATTTTTAAAACGGTAGTAACAAAAAAAAAAAGAGAAAAGAGACAATATTTTTGGAATTTAAAAGTTTTCTAATTTTAATCGGACGTTGAATTTTTAAGATATCGCCATCTTCCCGTCCTTTTTTTTATTTTTATTTCATCTTTTTTTTTCTAATTCGGTTTAAGAATTATTTTTAAAACGGTAGTAACAAAAAAAAAAAGAGAAAAGAGACAATATTTTTGGAATTTAAAAGTTTTCTAATTTTAATCGGACGTTGAATTTTTAAGATATCGCCATCTTCCCGTCCTTTCTTTCATTTTTTTTTTTTTGTAATTCGGTGTAAGAATTATTTTTAAAACAGTAACAAAAAAAAAAGAGAAAAGAGACAATATTTTTGGAATTTAAAAGTTTTCTAATTTTAATCGGTCGTTGAATTTTTAAGATATCGCGATCTTCCCATCCTTTCTTTCATTTTTTTTTTTTTTTGTAATTCGGTGTAAGAATTATTTTTAAAATAGTAACAAAAAAAAGAGAAAAGAGAANNNNTTGGAATTTAAAAGTTTTCTAATTTTAATCGGTCGTTGAATTTTTAAGATATCGCGATCTTCCTGTTCAATTTTAGATATCGAATTTTAGATATGCATGGTACACAGTTTTCGACTAAAAAATTGGGAACGTGGAGGCTCGTTCGTGGATTTTTAAATCCATTGTCTATTCGGATTAGAGTTTATTAAAAGTTATTCGCCTACATAAATATATTAATTAATTTTGTTTCCTTTTAAAATCAATCCGCGTATTAACGATCGAACATACGATTAAACAAACGTATGGATATAATGCGATTAAATATGCGGCATTAAAAATTTTAATTTAATCGGAAGAGAAAACACGCAAAGACGGGAAATCATGACGGTGCAATCAATTGAAATTAAAACGGCCGATTTATCGAGAGTTTCTAAATTTAACAACACGTTAAAATCGAAAGTCTATAAAAGCAATCAGGGTTGCTACTAACCGCAAGAGATCGTTCGTGGCTTGAAACGAGAAATTTCGATCGTTTAATAAATCGCCATTTCATTTTCCATTGACTTTCGATAAAATAAAACTATATATTTTTTTCAAAATTTAGAAACAATTTTTCAACTTCTCGAAACTGAACAAACTGGAAAAAGAAATTGACGATCACGACGATAATTATTAAATTTTAAAACAAAAAATGAAGATAAAAATGAAATGCGATTCTCGTGTTGCGAGAAATCGTTCGACGAGATAATCCATAGATTTTGGCCAAGGAACGGATAATTCTGATGCTTAAATGAAATTAGGTACGATTTATTGGTCGACCGAATTAAACGAGGTGAAATAATATCGATCGGATACAGAATGGAATCGTTTCGAAATCTTGGTATCCACACGTTTGCTTTGAAGGAAACAGGAATTTCGATGTTATGCTCGTTTCGTAGCGGACCAACTGACGGTATCGATAACGCAATCATGTGGAATCTTTTACCCGATTTAATCTTCTAATAATCGAATTAATAATTTCAACGAGTATATTCGAATCGAAACCGCAAAGAAATTTAAAAATCCGTCGATCTATTATACATTAATTACATCTAATCAATTTAGTATTCGCATTCTTTGGATTGAAGGAGAGATCTAATTGTGAAAAATGTTGTCAAAATGTTTCAAAAATTTGTTAAAAAACGAGAAAATAAATACCGCCAAGCGCGGTATCCCCAAATGTGCGATTCGATCGCGGTCCACGAGGGTTTTCAACCGAGCAATCTACATCCAGAGAAGCGTGGACAGCTTAACGGGGGCGACTACATGCATAATCAGCGGGCGAAACGGACAAAGCCCGGCTCACCGAAGTAATTAAAAGTCTTGCAAACGTTGCCAGCCCCATGGAATCTCATTTGCCGCGATTTCATCCGGCGGATGAGCACGCATTTCGAGCCCGGTGTCATCGAGCCGCCATTTTAACGAATGGAATGACTGGCATTCCGATATCCGTTCACCACCACCGGCGCACCATCGCTCCACTTCATCCGCCGCTTCTTATGAAATTTACCTTCCAATCAAATCGATATCCCCCATTATAATCCAGCTACGATCAATAACAATTTTATTCCCCTTTGCGTATAGCCCAATAAGAATCCTTTTAATTATTCCTGAAGATATAGCCGCGACCAATCGAAGCGACGGCAATAAGATTTCGAGTGGCAATTAACCACGAAAACCCGATACAAACCCCCCGTTTCCTCGAGAAAAAAAGGAGAACTTCTGTTCGACTCAAATGATTCGTTTCGGGTGGCGATTTTCCAACGCAATTTCGAAGCTAAAACATAATTTCACCCGTTCACAGTCGTTGACCAATTTAAATGAAAGGACTGTGCACAGTCAGGATATCTAGCGTGACGTTAAAAAAAAAAAAAAACTGCGACAATAAAACCCGGCGAAATAATTAAAATAACAAATGTCAGGAACACAGGGTGGAGGGGTGGGGGGACGCGAAAATGGCTGGTGGTCGAACGAGGAACGAACGAGGAGGCGATTTATTAAAGGGTACACACGGTGGGTACTGATACAACGGCCGGTCATTCGTTCCGGCCCGGATCCGGAATTGCGAACGGAAAACGAACTTTAAACCGGGCTTCATGGCCCGGTAATTGCGTTGCGCGCCGGTTTTATGAAGGAGGGTATCCGGCCTATCCGACGAGCGCACGGGACCTTAGTCCCAGCACGCGGATATTTCCCAACAACCCGCGCCAAACCACCACCGGTATTCATTTTTCAAAGGTAATTGCAACGGCTATCTCGCCATCTATCTCTCGGCCGTTTGTCAGCCGGGAGGATATTAGAATATAATTACCATACGTGCATACCCCATCGAAGAAATCGTACCTTTCGTTCGTATCAGAGTTTCCACGTTCCTCCTTGATTTGTCGCAAATTTGGTGGAGGAGAGTGGGGGAAGAGAGGGTTGGAAGCGATTTTGGCTCCCGGTCAACCGATAATTTGTTTGCAATGGGCACGATAATGAGGGGAAAGGGAAGGAGGGGGGTTTCGAAACAAGGGTGAAATATTTCGATATATCCCCCATAGGCAAATTCAGTTGTTCATTACTTTAATTGGTTCACGGTCCACCACTGAAAATTACACGGTCTCTGATATAACGCGGGGAACGATTGTACGCTCGAATCGATTAAACGTTGCTTTCGATGTACACAAAATGGATGGTAATTGATTCGTCACGCTTGCACGTGTCAGATTTGGGGGGAAAAATCGGGGGAGGGGGAGGTAACGAGGATACAATCATTTATTTATAAATAACACGGAACGAACGTGATTATTTCCGCGTCTGATCAGATTTCGCGAAGAGATTTTTTTTTTTTATCTCTTAATTTTCTTTCATGCTCCATATCTTCGATCCTCGCTGGTATATCTTTGTCCAAAATTTCCCATCCTCTTTGTACGTATATTTGTAATTTCGTTATAAGTATTCCACCACGAGTCCAACTCGGTGACGTTGATTTACGCTAATTTTCCATCCCGCGCAACGAAAGCAACCCCACCGTTTCCTCGTCCCCTGTATTGTGCAATTTTGCAAGCGTTCTCGCGAATTTTACCTCCATAAAAGAACATTGTCCGATCTATGTGACCGTGCGGTAAATGAAGCAATATCGGTGATAAATGGCGGGACGATTTCTAGCCAACGGAGGACGAAACGTGAACCGAATCTGATCGCGTATAAGATATAAATTGGCGGCTCGAGATATCGGAGGTGCGATATCAACGCGTCACGTGGTATCCTTCTAAATTATTCGAACCCTCCAAATATGATTCTCCCCAAATAGGGGGAGAGAACCATCGGATTATTAATTTCTGAAAATTGTTCTGAAATTGTTTAATTTTATTTCATCGAAATAATATGGGAACGAGCGTTTAAAACGAGCCTTCGGCTTTAAAATAAACCGTAATACTTTAATATGAGGTAGACTGGTCTTTTTCTCTCATCTTATGAATACATTAGAGAAAATTATGTCTATTTCATAGTCCTCGGTGTTTTTCACGTGCATGCTTTTTTCCCTTCCTCCCCTCCCCTTCTCCTCTCCCCCGGAAAGGGAAAAACGAGGTTCTATCCTGGCACCATCAGAGGATACGTAGCTTCTTGCGATGCAACAGAATTCAACGCAAGTGGAAATTTATAGTTCATGCAAGCCACCGCGCTCGGAATAATATTTTGCCTGTTTCCGGCGGTTTCCCTTCCCCTTTATCTCTCTCCTCCCTCGTCTCTCCCCCCTCGAGGTCGTGGGTAAAAGGGCGCGGGCGCGCCAAGTTTAATTTCTGTTCGCGGAGTAATTATTTTCGAGGGAACTCCTCGTGTATCGCGCAACTTTTTGAACCTATCCGGTAATAAGCATGGAAACGATATTAAATCAGGCGTCGTTGCACTATGTCCTACCTTCGCCGAATAACACCGAAATTTCCTCCACTAAGTAAACTCTCTGAGGTCTAATAGTCGTCAACTTCGGATTCGTGTCATTTTCGAAGAGAAATTATACGTTTGTCCTAATTTTTTTCAGAGAAAAAAGAAGGGTATCGCGATTAATAATAATAATGAGGAAAAAGCGAGAAGAAGAAACGTAGTTTGCCGCGTATCGTAGCAAAATGCCAAGCCACCAAGCGTTGATTCAGTACTTTAACTTT